GAGGGCAGGAGCAGCGCTGGGATAGGCAGGATGTGACTGGGGATGCGGGTGTCCCCGCAAGTGTGGCAGTGGCTCCATCTGGCTTGTTCCTCACTTTTCTGTGCTGCTGGAGTGAGCTGGGACTGCTGGTAGCAAGCCCCAAATATTCCCAGCTGGCTGTGTACAAATCCCACAGCTGGCTGCCAGAGAGGTGGGACATGGCAGGAGCTGGCTCTTTGTGCAGGTGACGTGGACAAAAGGGGACCTGAAGGACAGTGAAGACATCAGAGGAGATCCTGGAGAAGCTGAGTGGGGATGGGGACAGAGAGGGGACAGGGGACGGTGGAGGGGATGTGGCTCTTTGCTGGAGGGAGGAGGGAGCTTTGTGGTGGGGAAGCTGAGCAGCATCAGGATGTTGGGGCAGGGCCATGCTCACACAGGCACTGGTGAAATTCAGCTCCCTCCCTCTCCTCCCTCCCTTCATTTGGGAGGAGAGCACAATTCCTCCTTTTATTGCAGCAGCAGCATTTCCCCCTTCAGATACAGATTTGAAGAAAACTGTCTAAAATACAGAGATTTCCCTCCTAATTAGAGTTGCTTTCAATTAGGCATATACCTCTGAAAAAGCATAATAAATGGCTTGGCTTAATTAGCAGCCTTTGATCAGCATCCCAAGGGATTCCTGTGCTGTCAGGGGATTTAGGCACTGCCTTGCCCAGGGAACTCTCAAAGCCAAGGGGCTCCAGAGATGCCTTGTCCCTTATGGCAGTGTAGAGGACTGAGGTAGGAGTTAAACCCAGCACTCAGCAGGATGTTTTTACCACACCAAATTAATACAGCACCTCTAAACCCAGCATAGACAACACGGGATTCGTTAGTGTTTCCTAATTAAACATTTCTCCAAGCCAGGCAGACTCCCCTGCCAGTGAGACCCTTGGGGTGGGAAAATTTGGCAAGGATGCTCCCAAAGTTTGGGGTGGTCCCAACACACCTTTGTCCCAGTGCTGCTGGAAAATTGTCACTGCCTTGGTGACAGTGCAGCAAGCCCTGGATCCTGATGGACAGAGCAGAGCACGTCCTAATCCATGGATCCCTGAATCACAATGATCCTGATGGACAGAGCAGAGCATGTGCTAATCCATGGATCCCTGAATCACACTGATCCTGATGGACAGGGCACACCATGCCCTAATCCATGGATCCCTGAGTCACAGAGGCCACTTGGTGCCTCTGCCCTTGCACAGACGTGATCATAAAATCCTAGAATGGTTTGGGTTGGAAAATCCCATCCCATTCCACCCCCTCCATGGGCAGGGACACCTTCCACTGTCCCAGGTGGCTCCAAGCCCTGTTCAGCTTGGACTTGGACACTTCCAGGGATCCAGAGGCAGCCACAGCTTCTCTGTGAATTCTATTCCAGGGCCTCCCCACCCTCAGAGAGAAGAGTTTCTTCCCAATATCCCATCTCCTCCTGCCCTTTGGGAAGCCATTCCCCCTTCTCCTGTCACTCCAGGCTGTGTTCCAAAGCCCCTCTCCAGATCTGACGCCCACTGGGCACCCTGAGATGATCCATCCTGTGTCCTTGGATGTGCCTGGGCATTGTGCAGGGTTGGGGTGCAGGCAGTGCCAGGGGGGATGTGCCCAAGCCAGGGTGTGCAGGATTCCCTGGGACAGAGGAGAGCGGGGACGTGGTCAGTGAGAAGAGAAATGAAAGATGGAAATACCAGATTGGTGGCACCGCTTGGGGATGTTCAGGAGAGCTGAGAGCTTGGCAGAGAGGGAGAGAAGAGGGGTTTGAAATGTCCCAGAGGCAAACAGGCTTTGAAAGGTGCCCCTCTCCCTGGTGATGGTCCATCCAGGACCTGGGAGAGCTGTAGGAGCTGGTGAGGCTCTTGTGAGGGAGCATCACAAACACAGTTATCGAGGAGGGCTGGAGAACCCTGGTGCTTCAGCAGCCCTGAGGGAGGAACCTGGAGTGAGAGATGAGGCTACAGGGGGGCCTGTCCTGATTCTGGAGACTCACAGATGGTTTAGAGTGCAAATTCAGCTCCTTCCAAGCCACCTTTGCTGCACAAGAACCCTCCTGCTCCTGCAGTGACAGCAGCATGAGGGGCAGTGTGACAGCAAGGTCACCATTCCCACTGCTGGCAATGTCACACCTGCTCCAGAGAGCCCGACCAAGCCGTACCTGCACGTTCCTGTTGAGGCTGACGGCGGGGAAGAAGAGACCCTCCAGGTTCTCAAAGGCCACGGGCCCTTGCTGGTCCTCGTTGATGGAGAAGGTCAGAGTCCTCCTGGTCAGATCCAGCAGCACTCCCACCGTGGCCCCTTTCGTGATCCCGCCCTCCGTTCTGTGGGGGGAAAAGGCTGAATGGCCCCCGTGCTCCTGGCTCAGGCCATGGAGATCAAGGACTGATGATGGTGAACACCACAACTCACCCAGGAGCCAGGCCATGACCTGCTGCCATCCCAGCCACGCTCACCATTCCCTGGGAACCCCCTCCTCTACCCTCCCATGGAGCTGCTCTCCTCTTGCCATGAAAAGCCACCCTGAGAGCAGCTACAGCCACACAACCACGGGGGAAAGCAGGTGGAACTGTGGAGCAAAGCCACACCAGAACCTGCTGATCCATCAAGGAAAGGCCTGCAGGAAGGTGACCCCAGGCTCTCCCCAAAGTCCCCAGTCCCACGTGGAACAGGAGCAGTGGCTCAGGGATCAAGGCAAATGTTGCTGCAGGAGTTGCAAGGATTTGGCTGTTACTGGGAAGGGGATGCCAACAGGAAGAGCCAGCATGGAAAAAGTGGTGGCAGGCAGGGAAGGAACACTGAACAAGGCAGCACCAAGCAGGCAGGGCCTGATCCCCACTCAGGGAAGGGCACATCCTCCAACAGAGATGACCAGGACTGATGTCACCCTCCCCGTGGACACTTGCAGGTGCCACTCTCAAAGCCACAGGCTCTTTGGGCTGGGGTGTCTGGGGGAAGCCCCTGTCCCTGCCTGATGCAGTTCCTTTGGGGGCATCCCTGGGGGGCCCCCTAAGCTGTGTGTTCGCTGGTAGCAGCAGGCAGGCAAGGAGACTCCACATGGCTTCTGAGGGTGCTCATTAGATGAGGGTTTTTTGGGGGTCCCATCCCCAGAAGCAGCATGGTTTGTGAGGGAGAAGGGGGAAAAGGGAAGGAGGGGGAGAGAGGGAGAGCCTGGGGAGAAATGGGCCAAGAGAGAGTCTGGTCTGCCCCCAAAGCTTAACAGGGAGATTCAAAGTGGGCACAGAATAAGCCTTGGGCCAATGGGATTACAGATCCACGACACTTCAGGGGAGAGGATCACAGACTTGGAATAATCCCTACATTTTCGAGGGGTGAGACAGAGCAAACCACTGAACTAAACTGCAGCACCCCAGCTGCCCACGTACCTGTTGGTGTGGGAGTTGTTGTGCATGAACCAGCTGCGGTTGTTGTCCACGTACATGGCCCAGGCCTTGTCGTCCTTGCCCAGCATGGCATCCTTGAGCACGTCAATGCGCGCCACGCCGAAGGCCGGGTCGGGGTGGTTGTCGTAGCGGTCGATGGACAGCTCCCAGTAGTGCAGCCCTTTGGAAAAGCCCGTTTTGCCCAGCACCACCCTGTCGTCGTAGCTGTTGCAGGTGACAGTCAGGTTGTCATTGGAAAAGATGATGTCAGCGTGGGCAGAGGAGGGGTCGAAAGAGAACCAAGCAACTGGAACACACAAACAAGGCGGGGTTAGCGCGGTGGGGACGCGCCGGGGCCGCGGGCAGCGACACGGACGGGGCATGCTGCATGCAGGACACGGAGCTTCCACCAGGGAGGGACAACTTCCACCATAGAGAGACAACTTCCACCACGCAGGGATGCTCTGAGCTCCTGTGGCTGCAGCTGCCAGTGTGCCTGAGGTTTTATGGCCAGGACTTGGAGGAGTTTCGCTCTTGCTGCTCCGTGGTTGCCAATGTCTCAGCTCGTGAGCCTGCAGGATCCTCAAGGCCTCCTAAAGTTTGGCCCTTGTAGGAGATGTGATCCTCACCAGGTCTCCAGGCTCTAACAGAATTATGGAATCGTGGAAGGGTTTGGGTTGGAAGGGATCTTAAAGCCCATCTTGTTCCAACTGCTGCCATGGCAGGGACACCTTCCACTATCCCAGGTTGCTCCAAGCCCTGTCCAGCCTGGCCTGGAATGTAACTTACTCTCAGGACCGAGTGTTATCAGTTTGCAGAGTCAGGTCAGTGTGGGAAGGGAACTGAGGATCAGCAGATAAACTCTGTGTGTGTATTTAAGGGCTGTTTTTGGGAACCAAAAGCACACACAAAGGTCTTCATTCACTGAGTCACACAAAGAAACCTCCCTGCCAAGCAACGAGCCACACCTACGACAAGAACTCATGGGAAGGCTGGAAAATGCCCCAAAACCTCCAGGATTCCGTAGGGCTGCTGGTTTGAATGCACAGGACCTGGTTACTGCAAATCTGACAGACACAGTGTCACGTCCTCGACAAGACACAGGGACAGGGAGTCATTGACAAGCCACCAGCCCGGTTCCCCAGGTGGTTTCCTCCAGCTGAAAACGTGAACTGACACATCCAACAGAACACTCTGGCGGCTTGAAAAACAAAACCACTCGTGTGAGACCGGTCGACTCTGGTTTATTGGAAGGCTGCACAGGACAGCTGCCATGCACGCGGCCGCCCCGCGCCGCCCGCGCTCCCCGCGCACGGGGGTGCCGTACCTGCCACCATTTTTTTAATGTCAACTGTGGTCATCCCCAGGGAAAGGCATGCAGGAGAGAAAACAGCACGTCAGGTTGGGTGGGGGAGAGAAGGAGAAACCATTCCTGCTTGTCTGGGGCTCCGGCCAGAGCATGGATCTGTTGGCAGTTTGCATCATGGTGGGGCGAGAGGCGCGAGGATGGGCTGGGGCTGTTGGAGGGTGCAGGGTGAGCAGGGAACCCCACAGGGCTGCAGGCTCCTTCTGCAGGGGAATGGGCAGGACTGGCCCTGCAGACAGCCTGAAGAGGACAGGCAAGCAGCAGCCCCCTTGCTTTAATTAGCTGCAAAGGGGCTAATTGCATCCAGGGCATTTGGCCCATGTTCAAGTGCCTTAATGAGCAGGGATGTGCACTGAGAATCATGGAATGGTTTGGGTTGGATGGAACCTTAAAATTTGTCCAGTTCCACCCACTGCCATGGGCAGGGATACCTTCCACTATCCCAGGTTGCTCCAACCTGGCCTTGGGCACTGCCAGGGATCCAGGGGCAGCCACAGCTGCTCTGGGCACCCTGTGCCAGGGCCTGCCCACCCTCACAGCCAGGAATTCCTTCCCCAAATCCAACCTAAAACCCTGCCCTCTTTCAGTTCAAAAGAGAAGGAGAGCAGAAGAATCAGTGCTCAATTACAAGGCCATTTCCAGAGCACTGACCTCAGGCTTCCCTTTAAAACCATTACTGGGAAAACCAAAATGCCTTTACAACATCCAGCCACCATAACTTCTCCAAATTTGCCTCCTGCCTAGGGCAGTGGTGGAGTTCCCATTCTTGGATTTAAAAGCCTTGTGGATGTGGCACTTGGGGACATGGCTTAGTGGTGGCCTTGGCAGTGCTGGGGAATAGTTGGACTCAGAGGGCTTTTCCAACCTCAACAATTCCATGATTCTGTCACATCCAGGAGTGCTCTGCAAGCAGGGTATGAGCAAGAAACGCTGCTCAGTCGCCAAAGAAAAGATAAAAAAGCAAAAAGAATAAAAAGAATGAAGCAACAGGCAGGAGGTGCCAGTTAATTGTAATTAAGATACTTGCCTAATTGGGAGTAAGGCGATCCTTGTGAGTCAAAATTGCATCCTATAAAGAGATACTACATTTCACACATCACAGCTAAGGAACAACAACCTCCTGACAAACACTCTGAGCATTTCATTGCTAATTAAGCATCCAGCAGCCACGGGAGGCCTGATTCATTAAAAGCCAGAGGGCACGGAGAGGGGTGGCAAACACAGCCTGGGAGTTTGAGTGTGGACTGGATAAAGCCTGACTGCTCAGGATGCCAAATTTTTCTGCTTTTCTCCAGAAAAAGGCAGGAAATTTTAGCCTTGATGGAGTATCTTGGCTGCTTGGTAAAGATTGTCTAAACTGACTGGAAAACCACTCCTTGAAGGACAAGAACTGGGGAAAAGGCAGCTCCTGATGGGTCTGGGGTGGGATGGAGCTGCAATGGAGATCCTTGGGGGCTGACGCCTGCCTCAGACCCCAAAGGGCTGTAGCTTCATCAGCTCCAAGGGCAGGATGTGTTGGGGTGCCCTTCATGCTCCTGTGCCTCATTGCACGCACCTCATGGGAGCCAGGGACTGACCCGGGAGCTTGTCCTGACCTAGGGGCTTGTTCTGATCCACGAGCTTGTCCTGATCCAGTTTTTTCTTACCTAGAAGCTTGTCCTAATCCAGGACCTTGCCCTGATCCAGGAGCTTGTTCTGACCTAGGGGCTTGTCCTGTTCCAGGAGTTTTTCCTGACCTAGGGGCTTGTACTGATCCTCCTGGATCAGGACCTAGGAGCTTGCCCTGATCCAGTTTTTTCTTACCTAGAAGCTTGTCCTCATCCAGGAGCTTGTCCTGACCTAGGGGCTTGTCCTGATTCAGGAGTTTTTCCTGATCAAAGGGCTTGTCCTGATCCAGCTTTTTCTTACCTAGAAGCTTGTCCTGATCCAGGAGCTTGTCCTGACCTAGAGGCTTGTCCTGATCCAGGAGCTTGTCCTGGTCCAGGAGCTCATCCTCACCAGGAGGAGACACCAACACAAGTCCTGTGTTGGCACTGTGTGGGACAGCACTCATGAAGGGCGCTGGATTTTAGGGCCACCCCTGCCCAGCTCTGTGCCTGGATTTTAGGGCCACCCCTGCCCAGCTCTGTGCCTGGTCTCCCCCTCCTGCCCTGGGTGTTGGTGGGAAGGCACCTGGCTGTGGTTGTGCTCCGTGCTGTGCCAAGCGGCTCCTCCTGAGGCTGCTTTAATGAATCCTGCCCCGTGTCCCGACTCCAGCTCCGCTCCTCCAGGGCTCCGCGCATCGCTGCGCTCCAAAGCTCTCATGAGGGACACACAGACCCTGTTGTGGCTGTCAGGACCCCGATTTTCCCTGTCCCCCCACCCCAGAGTGGGGCTGCAGAAGGTGCAAGGTGCACACACGGGTTTGGCTCACGGGCAGCACGGGAGGGTCCCGGGACCCCGGACACAAAGGAAGGAACGTCGGTAACAAAACAGCGTTGGAAGCCATCAGCTCACAGCAGCACGATGAGAAATCAAACACAAAAAGCACAAAGAAAAGAAAGTCTGCAGGGTCCCCTCCCCTCCACCCTGGTTATTCTGGCAAGGGTCATGCTGCAGCATTCCTCATTCCGTGTTATGGGATGGAAGTCAAACAATCGGGGGCCCCCATTCTTCCAGGGCTTCCACCAGAGAAAGGTGGGAATGAATGCCTTTGGAGCGGTGTAAATCCAGAGTGGTGGAAGAATCAGGGCCCAGGATCTTTAGCAACAGAAGATGTGCAAAGATTGGTTAGAAAACAGCTCTGAGAGATCCCTGTGGCTCCTCGCTGGCTGCCCACATCCATCCCTCACTGTGCCTGAGCTGCCCCCATCCCAGCACAGCCCATGATTCCAGGCAGCACATGGATCGAGCTCGTGTGGGGCTGCCGGGCCACAGAGGCAGCACAGGACAGGGGTGGGGTCTGTGCTCTGCAGGAAACAGGGCCTTGGGATGGGCACATCTGGGGTTGGAAAAGCCGAGCCCAGTGCACAAAACCCCATGTCTCCAGGCCCTAAGTCGGGCTGTGAGCTGGAATCACAGAATCCCAAACTGGTTTGGGTTGGAGGGGACACAAATCAATCACCTCATTCCACAAATCACCTCATTCCACAAATCACCTCATTCCACAAATCACCTCATTCCACACCCCTGCTGTGGGCAGGGACACCTTCCACTATCCCTGGCTGCTCCAACCAGGCCTGGCACAGACACTTCAGGGACGGGGAGTCCTCAGTGTCTCTGAGCAACAAGCCAGAGCCTGTGTCCAGACTCGCCTCTTCCCTAAGAGGGGTCTAGATTTAACCAACCAAACTCATTTCACAGACCAAATCTCCCAGCAGAGGCTGCGTTTCCTGGTTGTGCTCGGAAAGGAAAGCTTGGGGATATTCCCACAGGTTTCACCCAGGGAATGCCTTTTCTGATTAACCCTTGACACAAGCTCAACACAAACCAGAAATGAGGAATCTTCTAGAGGAAAGTGTCCCTGCCCATACCAGGAGGTTGGAAGCTTTAAGGTCCCTTCTAACCCAACCCATTCAGGGATTTATGATCACCAAAGGGCTCAGCCTTGCCAAGAGCAGCACCCAGGTAAGGAATGACTGTGCTGCTCCATCAGCCCACACCTGAAACACCCCAGGAGAAGCAACCACTGACCCCCCTGGGCGGCAGGAGCAGGCCACTGACAAACAGAAAGAATTCCCACTGCCATCTGCGTGTCATGGCAAAAACAAACACAACAGAACAGAACAAACAGAGAGTTTGGAGATGCCCAGAAGCACAGACCAAGAGGCAAGGCCAGAGGTGCTCAGCTCACCGGCTGAATTCAGGGACTGTAAGGAGGAATGCAAGCTCAGCTGGTGGGCCGAAGATCTTAGCTCAAAGTAGGATCTCCCCGAGAAGCTGGGTTGCAGGTTAAGGGTGGAGGAGAAAGGACTCATTCTACGAAGCTGCGATCTTTCCAAAGGCACTGGGAAAGGGAGGGTCTGCTCTTCTGACTGCGTGTCTAAACGTAAGATCAAGGCAAACTGCACATCAGACACGGGCTCTCTGCTGCTGGGCAGAGAGCAGCAAACAGCTCTGAGAGGTCCCTGAGGAATGGCTGGTGCTGGGCAGCCCACAGAGACCCTTCAGGGCAGCCTGGCAGCAAGGAAATCATGCTCATCTTCCAAAGTGTCCCCGTAACAAATTCAAAAATTCAACTGGTTTTCTGTAAAGGGGGGGGGGTTCTGAATCTCTTCACAGTAATGCACCTAAAAGAATCCACAGGTTACCATGCACATGTCCCATCGTGCTTTAACACATCCCAAACCTTTTCCCAGGGGTGGGAAACCCAGCTGGCGACATTTTGCAGGGCTGTGCTAAGCTCCAGCACCCTAAGAACCACCAAGCACCCACCTTACTCAAGGGTTGTTCGGGAGGTTGTGTTCTTGGTATCCCTTTGTACCTGTCAAAACACATCTGAGCCTTACAGCAAGAATTTTACCTGTGGCATTCACAGCAAAAATGACGTCAGAGCAGAGGGAACCTCTGGGGTCATTGGTTCCTGTTCCCTGCAACCACAGTCACCTCCCACAGTTTCCTCCCTGACCTCTTCCGGGATTGTGTTAACATGAAAATGTAGAATCCACCATCCACACACTCACACTGCATCCCCCAGCCTTCCCAGCTCTGCCTGTGAGAATGGACTGAGCTGGGAATTGTGTTAAAACAGATAAAAAAGGGAACATTTCCTTGCATGGTAGTTGTAACTTCTGCAATTTGCTGCTGCTGCTGTGGCCCAGGCTGTGGAAGCAAAGGGTGTCAGTGGGGTCAGAGGAGAGAAATTATTGCACAACAGCCAATAAACAGAGCTCAAAGTTTGTTTATTAGTTTAGCTTCTAACCCTACCAGGAGTGAGAGTAACTGCTACCACGAGTGGCTGTGCTCATGGCTCTCCCTGATTAACCCCTCACATCCCTGAGGCTCCCTGCAGGCTGGTCCCCCTGGGGCTGCTCAACCTTTAAAAACCCTGGTTGCTGCTCAGGGTCACTCCACGGATGGTCAAGAATTTAAAGTTGGGCTCCAGATGAGGAGCTGGGCTTGAAAGAAAAGGTTCTGGTGCTTGGCTTGGCTGAGGAAGGGAGGAGGGAGCTCTGGGCCTGGAGAGAGGCCTGGGAGGAAATGCTGAGCTCCATTTCTCCATCTCCACCTGGTCCTTCATCCTGACACCCAGAGCATGGAAAGAGGTCAGCAGGAGTCTGGCCAGAGGCCAGGAAATCTGCTGGATGAGGGAAAAGCAGCAGAGCAGGGGCTGCCCAGCTCAGGGAGGAGGAGGAGGCTGGGGGAGACCCCAGGGCAGCCAAGCAGAGCTGCCACCAGCCAAGCTCTGGGACATGTCTGTGTCCTGGGTCACCTTGGGAACTTCCAGACTCACTTCCCATTCCACAGCTGAGCTTCTTTCAGGTGCTGGAGAAACAGAGGTTAAGGCAGAGCCTTGGGCTAAGATGTGACAGAGCAATCCCAGGGGTTGTGTGGAACAGCCCCAAATAGCTCAGGAGGGGACACAATCCAAGGCAAGGATGTCACCTTCCACCCTGCTGCCCCTTGGCTGTGCTGGGGACAGGGATCTCTATCCCTGGGAAGCCCCAGCACATGGAAGGGCTCAGGAGCTCAGACCTTCTCCCAGCCTTGTCCTGCTGGTGGCACCAAGGACCAGCTCTGAAGAGTGACCTGCCACAGTTTCCCTGGGGAGGAGCAGAAGGTGCCTCTCCCAAGGGCTGGGAAGATGCTCCTGCTGCAGATTCCTGCCTGCGCTGCCTTCCCATGGGATTTTCCACCAGGCAGTTGCTGTGGCCGTTTGCCTGGGCAGCACCTGCAGGGCCCCAGACACATCCCCTTCTTCTCATCCTGGTTCTCTTCAGATGCTGAACCCTGCAAGGCCTTTTGCTCCCCACTACCCTCTGCTCACAGGAAGCAGAGGAAAAGCTTCAGTTCCCTTGCACAGGCTGCAGATGAAGATCTCATGGGCCAGAGCTACAAACCAGCTCTTCAATGCCAGAATTCCTCAGAGCCACTTACAGCAGGACAGCCAGAGATTCAGAGCAGTTCAGAGAGATTCTCTCTTCACATCCAGCCCGTCCCTTTTTTGTCCTCTCTTCCCACACAACCACTTTGCAGGAAGCTGCAGAGCTTGGCTGAAGGGAAAAGCTCAGCCTACTTCAGACAAAATAGCTCTTAAGAAGGGCTGATGGTGCTCTAAAAGCCAGGAATAAAAGCCCAAGCCAGGGCTGTGATGTGCTCCTTTCACAGGCACTGGGATATCCGGAAGCTGCACACACAGATGTGATTTATTTCTCTTTCAATCCCAAAGAGCTCAGGCAGCCTCTAAGAGCACAAAATGCTCCAGGCCCGTTTGACTTTTTCTCCCTGCTCTTTTTTTTTGTGCTGGAATAACAAATGCAAGAGCTCATTCAAGTGAAAAGGCTGAATGAATGCAGCCAAGGAGATGGAACTTCTCCTTGGTGGCACAGCCCTGCTGGGACCACAAGCAGCTATTTTCTCCCAGATTCCTTTGTATTTTGGAGCTTGGCTCAAGGTGAGAACACCTCTGAGAGGCAATCAAAGCTGGGAAGATCACAGAGGGGACCCTGTCAACTCCTGGCTGGGACAACTTCAAGCCCAGCTGGTTTTGATGAGGAAATTGTGTCTCAGATGTGTTGTGTGAGGCACAGAGGAGATGAGAAGTCGCAGCTCTGTTGTCTCCTGCTAAGGCTGGCGTGGGAGCTGTTGACCTTCAGGCTTTGGCCAGCCTGGCACGGGGCTGGATGCAGCTCATCCCCTCCCTGCATCTCCAGAGGAATTCCTGCAGCTCCTGTGCTGCTGGTGCTCAGTTTGCAAACAGGCACTGAGGTGTCTCTGACAGATGTGCCAAGGCCTCTGTGCTGTGCTGTGCCCTCCCTGCCTCTCCTGTGAGAAGTTTGTCACAGTTTTGCTGTCTGCTCTAGCTCTGAGTGAATCCCGTTCCTGGCTGACCTGCCCTTTCCAAACTGGAATGGTGACCTGCAGGCAGCAAGGGAAACGAGCTTAATTTCTCCAGGAGAAACAAGCTTGCTCTGCTTTTGTCTTCTAGTTTTCCAGCAAAAATCCCATTTTGCTCCTTGCTGAAAGCCCCTAGGGCTGCTCTGTGGCTCTCCCCTTCCTTCCACCCCCCAGCAGCCCCACGAGCTGTGTGTGCTCCCTTCTGATCCCAGCTGCCAGCCAGCTGGGTACTGCTGTCAAAAACCCTCACACGGCTTGGAAAAGAGAGATTTTCATCTGGGAGCAAGGAAAAGGGATTGCAGCAAGCGTGGAGAGCTCCCACAGAAGGGATTTGTGCCTGGAGGGGGCTGATCCCTGCCTGCCCAGCTGCAGCTCCCCACTCCCACCCCGGAGCCAGCCCCGCCAACTCTCCACCTGCACAGCAGGAATAAACCAATTTTCCACCATGGATTAAGTGCCTGCTGTGACAAATGTACTTAAAGGCAGGCAGGGAGATCCCCCTGCAGCCTGCAAGGGAGGGTTTAATATTCTGAGTGGGTGTGGGGGTGATGCAGACGATGCTGCAGGGCTTCCCTGGCTCTGGAAGGACACCAGGACACCAAAACACGGCTCCATGGCTCTGGAAGGACACCAGGACACCAAAACACTGCTCCATGGCCCCTCTGCTCCCTGCCTGGACCCTGTGCTCATGGCATTGTGCAGAGCAGTGCTGGCAGTGCTTTGCTTCAAATGGGCCCAATGGGAGCATCTGAGCTTCCCTTCTGTGTCACGTCACCCCAAATTGAAACACCTCCCTTCCCAGAGAGCAGCAGGCACAACTTCCCAAGGACCTGTCCTGAGAAACCTCAGGGAAGGAGAGAAAACAATTCTTATCTCTATTCACTGCTCCTGTTGTTTTTGCACATGTGGAATGTGTCAGGAAGATTGTTTACCTGAAGGGATTTGGTAATTGGACTCTGATGATGGTTGTCTGTGTTAATTAACCAATCACTCCAAGCTGTGTCCTGGCTGGCTCAGACAGCCACAGGTTTTTCATTAGTATAATATAAAACATGAGTACAGTTTTCTTTAGTATAGTATCTGTTTAGTATAGTATTAATAATATATTAGTATTAGTAATATAGAATATATAT